TCACAAAAAAAAAAGACCCCCCCCCCCCCCCCCCTCAAAAATAAAACAGATTTTCGAGCTGTAATTCTTTTCAGGAAATCGAGACATCTAATTGATAAAAAATTTTATGTATTTATTTTTTTATTTATTTGTTCAACACATGTTCATTGGTTTTCAATACATGTTTGACAGAGAGGAAAAAAAGCAACTAATATAAACAAAGCAAATCTTATAACATTTCAGTTTAGAAGAAATAGACCAGGGTGGACAACAACTTTGACACAGACAAGAAACAAGAGGGTGGGAAGTGAGATAAAGGAAAGGGAATTCCTGAAACAAAATTTTGATTTCAATCTTGCCCAAAAAAAATGTACACGGGGCTTCCTATAGGGCTTTGTCTTAGGTGTGACTAGAGACAGACAGTGTCATGAGGACACACAGAGGATAACAGCATAAAATCTAAGTGCTGTTTATTATTATTGGTATGTTTATTATGAAATACACAGACACAAATGGCATAAAAAATAATCAAAGGCAACTTGGTAGACCACACGTGCAAAGTGAAAAACTAGCTAAACTAACTATGCACAAATAGCAAAACAGAGGGAAGGAAAATAAGGCAGAGTGGATCCAGAGTATGCAGGAACACGGGTAAGGTGCAGAGGCAAACAGCAGGTAGCCTCAGGTGGCAGTTAATTGAACCATGCTGGCTGGCAGAAGACACCTGCCAGTAGACATGTGAATGACACCATTCCTGCTGAACTGCAGTGCCATCAGCAGGTGTTCTGGCTGTCCTGCATGTTTCTGATAACTTAATGCTATTACAAAGTCATGTCATCAGATATCAGTCAGTATGACATATTAATAATAATTTGTCATAATAGATAGGTACATAAAGATTTTGAAATCTAGTCTTCATGGGGGTTCTGCACATAAGTCAACATCTTCTGCTAGTATTAATATACCTTCCATCTATTTTGACCCTTATTAAGGTAGGTTGGGTATTATTATTCACTTTAGTGGTTTCAGTGTGGATGAACAAGTGCTGGGAGTTGTTACTATACATGAGCTGATTCATTGTCTTCCTTGCCTATATGGGGCACAATAAAAATACAAAAAAGATGAGATTAATTAGCTCACGGACACTGTAGACCATACATAGTCTCTAGGCTCTGGGTAGGGTTCAAATGCATACTTTTCTATAACATCTACAGACAATGTATATAAAGGTAGAACTATAGGGCCCATTAGTGTTTTTATTTTATTTAAAAAAAAATTTTTTTTTGGGGGGGGCGCAAAAGTTATATGACACTGTGCATAAAAGGAATTGAGACAAAAGGTGGCAGTGTAGATATGGAAGGATCCACCCAGTGTCTAGATGGTCACTGTAGAGAAGCCAAGCTCAAAGTAACTGTAGGATTTGGTCTGTAAAAAAGAAATCAAGGCAACTGGACTGGCTGTATTTTTCTTTAAGACGTTTCACTGGTCATCCAACCAGCTTTCTCAATTCAGAATGACTTGTACAAAAATTATCTGGGAATAAATATGGTGAATGTTGCTCCAATCAACAAAATCCATTAGTCACAACCATGTGTTGATTGCATTTGCATAATTTGAGCTAGGAGGTGTTAATAACCTGCCCAGAGAGAGGTGTTAAAAAAGCATTGTATGTGGCAGACAGAACCATACGCTGGTGTAGCTGCTGTTTTGTTTCACCAACATACAATTCTGAGCACTCCTCACTGCACTGGACTACATACACAATGTTGTTCATCTTGTGTTTAGGAGTTGGGTCTTTTGGGTGAAACAGTTGTTGCCTCAGTGTATTGCTGGGTTTAAAGCCATGTTTTTGCCTGTAGAACTTGTCCTTGTACTTGAAATAGGTGGTACTCAGGCAAAGGTCCAATAAGGCACACAATTAATCTGGGTTAAGTTCTGTTCTGCTGCCTAAGGTGTTGTCTAGTAGCAACCGTTTTCTCACTGTTTCAATTACCTCTGTGGTGGGTATGCAGGTGAAGAGGGATGTAACATCATAAGATACCCTTGTTTCCTCTGTGCCCAATATTAAGTTCTGGATTTTGGTTGTGAAATCTTGAGAGTTCTGTATGTGATGTTGTGCATTTCCAACCAAGGGGCTAGGACTCTGGTTAAGTATTTTGCCACGTTGTAAGTCACAGAGTTGACGCTGCTGACATTGACCTGAGAGGGGTCCCATCCTTATGTATCTAAGGAAGTTCAAATATATGCAGAGGGACTTCACCTGGGTAGAGGTGATGATACCGTACATAGCCCAATCAATGGCTTTGTCCTTTTACAGCTGTTGTACTAAATCTATAAGTTTCATCTTGTGAAGACTGGTTGGGTCTCTTCTTAGGGCTTCATATGTGTTGTTATCATTCAGAAGTGCAGTCATCTTAGCATTACTGATATACCATGACCTGGATGAATTAGAACCTTCACAGACTTGTAGGGTTTGGACTTTTGCTAATGGTGGTTCCCAAATGCCATCAAGGAGGAAATATCTTTGGCCCAGCATATGAGATTTAGTTTAGGTATTATCAGCATGAAACAGATGTTTTTAAGGACTTTAGGGAAGCAGACCACCTGTCAGGCATGTGGGAAAGCCCCAGTGGTAGGGAATGTTACTTTCCTGTAGACCAACAAGGAGAGGTCTTAGCATCTTTCTCCCTTCTAGTGTGTCTCCCGCAAGATCAGAAAAGATTTGTAGCATGTCTCTGTCAAATTCTACCATGAATAAAGTTTGGCAGTTTGTTCATTATGTCAAATTTTTTTCTCATAATAAAGAAATCTGCATGGCATCAGTGCGAGAATGTGCAGCCAGATTGCGTATGCAGACTGCTCTGTGAACTCTATTGAAGGGGAGGGGTATGATTTTGTTGCACCTCTGCTGAGAATGGTGTTAAAAATACCTCTTGAATTAGGCAGAGTGGGAAGTGATTGTAGATTTTTGTTTCCTAATGTAAAGAACAATGTCTGTGAAGGTTCTCATTCATGGTATGGTATATCTGTAAAAAAAAAATCAAGGCAACTGGACTTGCTATATTTTTCTTGAAGACGTTTCACTGGTCATCCATAAAGCTTTCTCAATTCAGAAGTCATTCAGATAAAGATCAATAGTCGCTTTAGCATGGATATTTAGGTGGTCTTCAAGATAATTCACTCTGGCACCTCTGAGGAGAGGAAGTGTGGTGAGTTTGAACCAGCGGGTTAGGTGCATTGGCCCAGGCCTCCTCTGTCACAGACTCTAGAGCGCATAAGCACTTAATAGATCTGATAACCGGTATATTTGAAGGCTTTTTTTCCATGTCAGAGGGTGAGTTTGCTGGAGCATCCTTTGCACTTATCTTACCACTGCCGTAGTCAGTGAATTATTATCCTCTAACTGATTAAGGGGCAGTTTGGGGAGTTTGTGTGATTGTGCGTATGTGTTTTTTTTTGTAGGGAGGACAAATCTGTGTTGGCTGAGGCAGCAGTGAGCAGCATTTGGTCCTGTGTTTTGGCTAACTAGGTTACTTAAAATAGCGAAAGCACCCAAAACCATAGCAGACATTATCAGCTTTGTATTGCTGTCCTAAAATGAGACAACAGAGCAGCTTTATATCAATGGTCTATTTCTCTCTCTGTCCTGTGCAGAGTCAGCCCAATATATGTTTTTAAAGTAATTCTATTACACAGTGAATAGATCCAGGATACTACACACAAAGAGGAATTGTACATGCTCTTTGGACCACACAGGCTGTTGGCAGGCACTTTCATGTTTTATCTTTTCGGACATACAACCATAAATAATACCATTTTTTTTTTTTTTTTTCTACAGCCCTTTTCCTCTGGAAGCATTTCAATTTCACTGTTTTCTTTTTAATTCTTTGAACTTTAATAGCTTTAACTTTAATTTTATATTACTAAGATGATTCTAACGGTGATTTGCCTGAGAGTTATTTGTTGTGGAAACATAATAATATCATGTGATGTAAAAGAGAACCGGTCACCAATTTTACACCAATGACTTCATTCAAATGTAGCAAGTATTACCTACCAACTATCAACCAAGGATTTTTCAGTTTCCTCTGCCACCACCAGATTACCATATTTTATTCAGAAAATAATAATTATGATTAGTGACTGTTCCCCTTTTATGAATTACCATTTAATAAAACAAAACACCAAAAAGGTAAGTCGTTTTTTTGAGTTGTTTACATAGTGACATGAGGGTAAAGTAAGTGCCCAAGAATAGTTACACAACATATATTTTTGCAGTGTTATTTTTGAATGTGGAGAATTAATTTTAAAAGCGATTTGCTGCTTTGATAATGTTCAAAAATGGGGGTCATCCCCATTACCTATAAAAATGTCCGTCACATTAACGTCCATTGTTGGGCACATGCTGGGCAAAGTTTCCTTCTTACCTGAATCCGCCATCATGTGTTCCTTGCCATTGCTTCCTCTGGAAATGGAGACCAGGAGTTCATGCCTACCACACCTCATCTTGATGTTACAATTCTTTTTGTTTTCCTTATTGTAACTTCACACAACTGCAGTTTTGAGGAGCCTAAGAGGACCATGGCCAGTGGCACTGTCACCCAGGCAGCTATATGGTCATAGAGAAAAGAATTGAGACCCAGTGCATCATATGACCATGCATTTAGGTAAGTAAAAGAGTAGTTTTTTTAAATCCAGTGATTAGTTATAGGGTGGTTGGGGAGAAGGGGGTGGGAGGTTGCATTTCCGAAGATCAGATTTAACTCAGCTTTATGTAACTTTCTGCCTCCATCTAACAATCTTTTAGATTGTAAGCCCTCAGGGGCAGGGCCCTTCTTACCATTTTGTCTTGACTTGTATTGTGATTGTAATGTCTTCCTTATAATGTAAAGCGCTGCGCAAACGGTTGACCCTATATAAATCCTGTATAATAATAATAATAACAATGCAGATTCTCTTAAAATATCTAATCATTGCTTATTTTGGAGAAGTTGCTATTGGGAATTTAGTTTAGAAGGCACCAGTGTCCACAGATATGCAGTACCAATCACCTCTCTTCACTGATCAATCAAACATTTGCCAATAGCTGTGTTTATATCCAGTAACAGCATTTTTATGTTATTGAGAATGCAAACATTCACAGGGTTATTCACAAAAGGGTGAAGAGTTTGGAGAAGGCAGGAGAAGTTAACAATCTAGGACAACATAGCCGAACTGGAAAGTGAGCTGAATTGGAGATTTTTTCCAGTTCAGCGATGTTGTCCTAGATTGTTCACTTCTCCTGCCTTCTCCAAACTCTTCACCCTTTTGTGAATACCCCTGTAAAACATCCCACATAACAGCTGCTTAACTATTTCAGGCCCTCCTGTCCCCTTTAACCCAGTTACTGCTGATTATAAAGTAGCAAATGTACTCCATAATTGCATAGTTTAGATGCCTAGAGTGATAAAAAAGAACAAACTTTTTGTAAAATGAAGCACCATGGAGCCTTCCTAAAACAGAAAGTATCTGCATATCTCATTTCCATCACAAATCCAAAATATAAGGGATTTGTTTCTCATTTTAGGATAGTCAACAAAGCCATACAAATCATTCCCTTTTTTGCCAATAGTGCATCCAGAATTGCTGGTTTATACCACAGATACAGACTAATATGTTAGGGATGCACCGATATATCGGCCGCCGAAACATATCGGCCGAAAATGGCACTTGGCGAAAGTGCCATTTTTCTGCCGATACAGTGGCGCATCCCTGCTTTCTTTCCTCTCCGCTGGGCGCTGCTCTGTGTCCCAGCAGGGAGGAGAGAAACTGTGACAGCCGGCCGAGGGCTGCGGGAGGAGAGCGATGTGAGCGGCCAGCGTCTCTCCTCCCTGCACCGCTCTGCCCAGCCTCCTATGACAGCTGTCAGAAAGGAGAGCCAATGCAAACATTCAGCGATTAGTGATCGCCGAGTGTTTGTATATAATTGAGGACATGGTATGGTTACTATATCCTCAATTATGAATGAATGGGAAGTGATCAACATCACCTCCTGTTCATTCATAGTTGTGGTTATAGTAAACACACTATGTTCTCATGTTATAAATGAACAGGAACACTCAGTATAGAGGATTCCTGTTCATTGCTAACAGGGGCTGCAGAAAGAGAGATTGAGGACTCTGTGTTCTCAATCTCTTTTTCTATTTTAAAAGGGAAATATCAGGGTCAGGGTCTGTTTAGACCCCTGATATGTCCCCGAAGCCCCTAAATGTAAAGTAAAAAATAAAATGATTTAATTAAAAAAATGCATAAATAAAAATAAATATTAAAAAATTTAAAAGGTTATAAAAATAAAATATTTTTAAAAATTGGAAAAAGTTAAAATAAAAAACATTTTAGTTTTCGGTCTGACATTTTTTTTTATTTCGGTTTCGTCTCGGTTTTGAAATGTCCATTCCAGTGCACCTCTATGTTAACGGCATTTATTCTAAATTGCATACATCAGTGTCGGGCTTGTTGGCCATCATCAGTGCTTCTATGGGGGTAGGGCTTGTGCACCAACAAAATTGTAACCATATAGGTTATGCTGATGTGGATTAAAAGAAACTATAAAGCCCCACACTAAACCGGTGTGAACCAAAGGAGAGCAAACACACCAGAAAAAGTAACTGAAGAAATCTAGAATATAAAGTCTGTTGCAGACGCTAGATGCTAGAGTGAAACTGCAAATAAGCTAAAGCTTCTAACTGTATGGGTGAGCACAAGTCATGTAGTTCCTAATAACATTTAGCAGATGATGAACCATGATTAGCATGCTAACAATTTTTTTAAAGTTATATGCAGACAATGGCTCCCTACTGTAATATGGCCACGAGAGGGGAAGAGGGTCATAGGAAATATGTACTTATTTCCTATGCTCCTCAGCCCTATCTAGTGGCCATAATGCAGTATTTTCCTAATAGTACATTTGACCTGGAAAGAAACTATGCTAATAACATTTGTTCTCGCCTCCATACACACAGAGTATAATGTACATGCAATTTCGAAGGATGAACACTTAGGCCACCTCATATAGGTGAAAAGCAACATCTTTTGCTAGCTTCTCCCCAAATCTGAAATATTTATTTTCAACTGCTTTTAATTGATTTAGATCAAGAATAAAGGAAGGTCATACTGTATGTTGGTAGCCATCTACTCCCTGCCCTTCCACCATTTAAATTTACATACCTATATGCTTGAATTCTTGGTTGTATGTAATTGCCAGAAACTAATGGCACCTCCTATTTCTATGTGCAGGTGGAGAAGGTGGACAGTAGGCTATCAGCTGAAAATATTCACCCTGGCTAATGGACTATTGTCACCAGTGGTGGCAAACACAAGGATGCGCACTGCAGTTCATGGTGTCCCAGAGACACCATAATTGCTGTCCTATCCTGTTCACAAGAACTGGGCTTTATATACCTGTCGATAATTCCAGTGACAAGATCTCTGCTCCAAAGTTCACCAGTTCACTGTTTAAGAGGGGATCTCACTCTTCATGCTGTATTTTTATTTTACATCAGGAGCAATGCAGAAAGGAGCAATAAGTATCCATTGTGAAGGGTAGAGGACAGATCTGGATACTCTATGTTGAAGTCCCCAAGAGATATTCATAGCAATCAAATTATATGCTACATCAAGGTTCATCTGTTTTTGAAGCATCAGTGATGCCTGCACATTTTTGAAGCAGAAATGTAATAATAGTAATGAGCAAGCATTGTTTTTGGATTCGTGTTGTTATCTCTTCAGAAAAAAAACGCATTTGGAAATTGGAGTATTCACATCTACTTTTATTTTCGGGATTTTACTTAAAGGCAATTTTTGGTGCTCTGGAGCTGATGCTCAGATCTTCATGTAGCTAAATTGGTAAATAAGCGATTAATGCAGCATGAAACCTTAGAGCTAGAATATGAGAATAGAATCTGTGAACATTTTGCCTTATTAACTTATTTATAACCTTCTGTACTTTATATCCCCTTTTATTCCTTCAAGCAATGCAGATTTTAAGACTGAACTGTGTAATGATTTGTTGATTAACTGTTAATTTATTCTGTGCTTTCAAGTATGTTTTAAGAAAATGTATGTTTGTGTTTGTCTAACAGAAAATTTCAGAAGTCCCAAACTACTCTGCAGCCTACAAGAAATGCCATTCCCAGTTTACAGACCCAGCAGATTACAGAAGGCACAGTAGAAACACCTGGCAAGATGAAAGTGGCTTGTATGCCAATAGTCAAATGAAGCAACTGTTGTTCAAGCCAACCGACCATATAACACCAAAAATGTAATGATAAGAGAAGAGAATACTTAGGAAACTGTCTACATAATAAATATGGTGTCAGTACCATAAACTTTACACTGTGTCTAATATGGTCCTTTTTTTGTTATACATTGCTTTTGTGCAATGTAATACTATGTGTTATCAGGTAAAACAAACATAACTGAGATGTATAGTGGTCATATTATGGAAGATTTGAGTTGTTCATGTTGACATTTTACCTTTGAATGACACTGGGGAGGTATTAAAGCAATCCTTTACTGACATAAACATGAGGCTACCATTGTCAACTTGTGATTCTGCAGATGCTAGATACCGGGCTATCGTTTGGACTCTCTGGATTCAGTAGATTGAGTCACTAACAGGGTTAAGATTTAGGATTTGGATAAACATTTATACCATATATATTATAATTTAATAAATAAATTAAATGTTGCAATTCATTTTATAAACAAGTAGAAATCATCTGACCTATAGAAGTCAATGGTGTTTATTGGAGGACACATGTTTGCACATCCATAAGCACATTTAGGACCTGTGTGGTGTGTTCATACACACAACTGCTGGATGTTGAGGCCTATCCAGTGGCAGATCCGCTAAGGGCCTATTATTGGGTTCAACATGAACTTCGCACTACGTGCAGCCTATTTATCTACCTCATGAAACCTAATGGTCCTCCAAACATACCAACTTGATACAAACTTGAATCACCATGGCTGTGGAGCTGCAAATGTGTGAAGTGCTCACCATGCTATTCCATATACTGTAACCTCAGCACTACATGGGTGCTTCAAGTATAATGCCCTAAATGCCTAGGGCATCCTCCTAAATCATTAGTCCATTCCGAAGAAAAAAGGTGGGGGGGGGGGGGCCTTTAGGTATCCTGTACCTGTGAAATGGAGGCTGTCATTGCTGACATGTTTCGAAGGGGCTGCTTGCCTGGTGATCTCTTATTTCAATACATCTTGGATAAAACAAAACATTAAACTGTTTCTTAAAATAGTTGTACTCTCTTAATGGTTTGCTCTTTTCTGTTACTCTCTTTTCACTGACCGTAATCCCCATATGCAAGGTCCCACATTGTTTGGTGTGATGTAGGTACGTGTGTATCCCTCATTCACTTGGTTCTGGTTGTTCAATTCTCTTGTTTATAAATAAAATGATTAAAATATAAAATAGTCGTACTCTACAACTAAGCCTGATTTGGTAAAGCACGTGAGAGGTGTGTGTCCAGCAGGTGGGGATCATAAATTTGGAGCTGACTTGATTTTACAAAGCGGTACAGGTCTCTCTCTGCATTTGAATACTGTTTCTTGAAATAGGAAACATAAAAGCTGTGCACCTCTCTTGTGCAGAAGTCTTTATTAAGTGGAAATGCTAAAAGCAGAAAATGTACTCATTAACAGTCGATATTAGAAAGCCTGTAGTTACAGAGGTGCATCTGCACTGTGAGAATATCAGAGATCAGTCACATCAAGGGCATGCAGTCTGGAGCGAACATCCTTCTTCCTACATGACAGACTTGGTTAATGCTTTTTGGGGCCACGCCCCCTTCGTCAGAATGTTCTCCCAGTGCAGATGCACCTCTGTAACTATAGCCTTTCTAATATTGGCTGTTAGTGAGTAAATTTTTTGCTTTTAGCATTTCCACTTAATAAAGACTTCTACACAAGCGAGGCGCACTGCTTTTATGTTTCCTGTTTGCTAGACTTCCAGACAACCTGACTGTCAATAGTGCCGGCCACCTGTAAAAAGTCGCTGTGTTTCTACCCTTATGAAGGATGAACTTTGGCGCCAGTGATATTGTTGATTTTTTTGTTTCTTAAAATAGCTAAATATGTATCCAAGGGATCATCTATCTTTATCCATCCCATGCTGAGTCTTTTACATCTGGGAGAGCGAATCTCTCCGACATCTGCCCTGTAGGGCTTTCATAATGGTAATAATCATAATAATCAGCTCACTATGCTATCTTAGGTGATTTCAAATGTAATTTTTTTTGTAACTTGTGGGACGGGCTGGTATCTTTGGGGTAGAGCGTAAACTGAATTTTTTTCTTTTCAATTTTTAAAAAATACAAAAAAAGAATTGGACCAAACTTATTGGTGGATGGTCAATGTGCAGGAAGCAGATAGATAGATCTGTTGAATTTTAATAATTTAATATGTGATGTATCAAATTGCCCTTCTCCTTCTCTGCCTAAAACAATGCTAATATGAAATATGAATGTAAAATCCACAGGAATGAAAATAAATCATAACTCCCGTAAAAAAAGACAGAAACATTTGACTAGAGGGACAGTTTCAACAGACATCTTCTATGCTGTGGTAATATAAATGTGAGGTTGCTGTAGAACAGTGTTTTTCCATTCAAACTCCAGGATTTCCTAATTGTGCAGGTTTTCTGTATTTGTCATCAGCTTAGGGAAATTACAATAAGTAGCACATAAGCCATGTGAGGAGAGAGCCTAAGACTTGTATAACACTTAAAAAACAAGACGGAATAAAAACTATTACTAGCACGCATAGAGGGAAAACAGGCCCGCAGATGTTTACACAGTAGTCACATGCTTTCACGTAGCTGCATTTCTCAGTGTTGGAAAGAACTGTTTGTGTTCCTCATAGCAATCAGTCAGACTTATTTCATTTACAAACCTTCACCTGTACCATTAACAACAAATAAGGTCCAGTGTGATGTAATGTGCCCACAATATCCAAATTCACATTTTCTTATAAGCCTTAAAGGTAAAGTCCACTTTTTCAAAAATATAATAAATGCACACTTCTGGTGATTTGGAAGAACTAGAGATATCCAAATGGTAAATGGGTCAAGTCTAACATCATGGATAAACTATATACATGTCTGCAAAAAGGGTGTACGGGGCTTTGGACAGTGGCGGACCTAAGGAACAAAAGGCCCTGATGCAACAAAAGGCCCCCCGAAAACAAAAAAACACGACGTTTTTCCTTCTCAATAGAGTTAAATAATTCATGGAGGAATGTTAGCCATCTCTGGAAAAATCGAGATAAATGGTGGTCAGAGGAAAGATCAGATTTAGCATCCAATCTTTGCAGCTGGCTTTTGTTTCTTTCAATTTATTATACTTTTGTATATGCCGTGCTCCTCTCCCAGCTGCTATTGTTATTAAGGGGAGTGGATTTTCTCTCCCTTTACTTCCTGGAATTGTTTCCACCCCCCTCACGATGATACACAGGTAGATTATGTGCCTGCTGACTTCCTGAGATATTGCAGTGTACTGGCAAGATCTCCCTGGAAGGCACTGGTCACGTCGCCGTCCCATGGGTTCATTGCTACATAACCAGTGCCCAAAAAGATCAGGAAGTGGGGGGTTCAATTATATCAGTAAAAGAAGAATTATTTCATTTAAAAATGACTTGTAGGTGTATTAGGATTTGCATGCAAAGGTGCATTTACCAGGGATTTTTTTTATTGTTGGCGGATAGGTCTGCATTGAATGATGTCATAATAAATCAAAAGATGTGCTCATTAAAGATACACATGGGGACATTTGTAAATTCTGTCACACAGCCAGGCAATGCTAAACAGAAGCAGGAAGGCAACTTTGAGGCAGATTATAGGACAGATGTTTGAAAGTTAAGCAGCTTTTTTCACAAATTCCTCCCTCTGCAGCTGTAAAATAGCATTGTGACACAGACACAATAAAACCGAACTCTGTCCACTTCGTAATCTCCAGTGGTAAATCTTTTGCGGACCTGTGCAAATCCTTTGCACTTGGGTGCCCAGGATTTCAGGTGCAGTGGTCCCAAATACGTATAAAAACTGTTGTGTAGACTTTCTTATCTGATAGGCAGCCTGATTTGCCCCTTAATTTGCCCCACTCACTATACTTTCTCTTTAATATTCCACATATTACAGTGTAATGTGGACTTACTGACCTGTAGAAATGGTTGTGTGCATTATATTGAAGGATCTGGAGCAGTGATTCTCTACCTGTGTAACCTCAGGGCCAACATTTTCCCTTGGTCATTAAGTTGTGACCCAAGTTGCACCGCATAGGAACGCACGGCATTGCGGGACCTCACTTTCCGGCTGCGGGTGATTGAACTGTGGGTGGGAGGTGCATTTGGGGTGCCATTTAAATAAATTGCAACACACCTCCCTCATCAGAACGAGTAGTAGGTGCGATTGTGTCATGCAGTCCAAGCACCTCTACAGGGCACGCAAGGGAGCTGTAAGCAATGCACATATGGATGGAGCTCCCACTTCCACTCCCATGGGCCATATCCCCATCCCACCCCATGTCAAGCTGACAGTCGGTGCTGGGCAGCATATTTTGAATGGCTACTCGCCGCGAGAACGGACGGTGCTGTGCTGGAGAGAGGCTGAGGAGCCTCTCACCTAGCACAGTGAAAGGCATGCCCACTAAGCATGCCGCTGCCCACTGAACATGTTGTTGTGACCCACTTTTGGGTCACCAGTTGAGAACCACAGATCTGGAGCATATCAGAGGTTTGTGTACAGGGCTAGATTTCCCACAAGTCCACCGAGGCCCGGCCTCGGGGCAGCAGGGAGTAGAAGGGCAGCAGGGGTGTCGAATTCCTATCTCCCAACGCCCGGGACATGCATTTCCGGGCGCCGAGCGGGTAGTTGTTTTCTACATTTAGCCCTGCTTTGGGCAAACAGGGATAAATGTACAGCGGGGAAGCCGGCACTTGTTTTGTCGCCGAGATCACTTGTATTCAGCCTGCATACAGAGGGGCCTGGGAACCTGGCATTGGGGCAGCAGAGAAAGTAAATCCGGCCCTGTCTGTGTATGCAGATACCTTGTTGTGTCCATTTTAGAGTGTCATGTTACCTTGATAAGTTCATTGAAATGACAAGTTTACCACTCCAGCCATTGAATACACAACACTGATATGTCACATTTCTATATAGAAACCCATGAAATGCCTCATGAATGCTAAGACCTAAGCTGAAGCTGATCCTTGCTTAATGAAGTTATCTGTATTCTGTACATCAATATCATTT